GTGACTGTCAGTGTGGTTTACTTGTTACCAATTCGCCCCCAAACTGTGAGATTTCTAACAGGTAAACCTCACCTGCTGAGACAAACACGAAAACTCCGACAAACATCAAAGTGGAGCAGAGCGACGCAGTTACAAAAAACATTTCCGTATTCCGTACTTCTGTTGATCTGACTGTTAGTTTGTCTGATCCGACACGTAGTTTGGTCTACATGTCTGAGTCTGTTGCTATTTTCTGTGAATTACACAACCTGATTTTAAAATCGGACTCCACGAGATTAAATTTAAGATTTAAATAAAGTTTTACTCGCTCGATCCTGAAATGTCCGACTCGTCTCACAAGTACGGAGCTCTGTTTACGAAAAGTCACGTGATCAGAGTCACTGTTGCTTCGTCACTGGTTAGGTGGTTTATAAGGAAGTGACTCAATATTGGCGGGTTTTGTGCTGTGTTTTGGTGATTTTGTGCGGGAGAAAGCGAAAAAAGTGTGCGACATGATTAGAGACAAGAGAGGACGCGTCGTTAAATTGTTTAAAAAAAAGCATACTGCCAACCTATTATTAGAGGTTGTTGTACATTATTATACTATTATTATTATTATTATTATTACTATTTAAAAAATCAATAAGACACAAGCAAAGAGAGAACACAGCATGGCACATGTTTAAACAAAATTATTTATTCATCAAATAGATACAACATTTTTATCCAAAAAATACATGTTGAAAGCCCCACAACGGTATCCTGATGTCTCACAGAAATGCCACATCATATCAAACAGAAGCTGGCAACTCAGCTCTGCAACTCAGCTCTGCAGAGTGGACAATCATAACGAAGCAGTTCATTTCCAGTTTTAGATTCAAGCTGCTTATTATACTTTTGGCCACCAGATGTCACCAAAGAGGACTGTGTTGAAAAGTTTGGAATGAATCTTTTTTCAATTGCAATCTTCAGAAAGCTTCATTTGGTCATCACTACTCTTAAGGAAGTTGAAAGTCCACAGGACGTTTTACATCGTATGGGCGGGATGATCATACATGCAATATAACAAAAGTACGTAGTGAAAAGCCCACATTATAAAAAAAATTATTGATGAGCATTTTGAGAAGAAAATCAAAATTTCTCAATTAAAGTCGAAAATGTCTTTTGAGAAAAAAGTTGAAATGTGGAGGTTAGAGTTGTTTTTTAAATGCAAAAACTGTCAAGGTTCCTAGATCCTCAGAGTTAGTGAAATCATACTTCAGAATCAGTTTTCAGCAGTGACGACCAAATTAAGCCTTGTGATGCTTGTATTGAATAAAGTTTCATTACTCTAAGTTTTCTTTATTATCAGACTCAAATACCTTCCTGTTATTCTTTCATTTTTAATCAATTTTTTTCCTGTATTAAAAGATCATAAGATGGAGGATGAGCTCAGTGGTCTTATTGGTTTCACTTTTAATTTTACACATGATGGAGGAGTGTTTGAAGAGTGCAGTTGTAAAATCAAGAAAATCAAATATAAGCTCTGGTTCACGTCCAGTGTTAGTCACAGCTTTGAGGTGTGTTCGTGATCAGTCTGCTGTAGAATCTTCAAGTTTCTGATGGCTTTC